CTGGGACATCCGCCTGCCAGCGGGACACCTGGCATCCACACAGGAATTCAGCCAGGAGCCAGGCCCTGAGAGTGGAGCGCCTGGAGTCGGGGGCACCCACCCCCATCTCTGTGCGGAGCCTGCTTAAACACTCTTCTCTGTTTTAATTATTTTTCCATTTTAATACACATGCTAAAAATGTCAAACAGTAATAACATCAAAAGATGTTATTACAAAGAGTAATAACATCAAAAGTAGGAATCTGCCCCTTCCACCCCGGCCTTGGCGCCTCTGGCCCTCCCACCCGTCCAGTGATGCCAAGACCCTGGGCAGACCCAGGGGGAAGTTCTCCTCTCCAGCATCTGTGCCCACAGAGGGGTGCCACCCCAAATATGGAACTAGGGGATCACTGTCCAGGCGGGGGCCGTACGTGGCTGCCTCCCCCAGGCCCTGGTCCACGGTGCCCAGGGTCAGAGCCTCAGCCCCTTCTTCACCCTGAAGCAGCCCGCCTCTTGAACTCTCACCACCCTCTAGGGGAGGGTCAAGGAAGTTGACTTGCTCCAGAGCCTTGGCAGGTGGCCCCCCCAGCTCTGCTGCCCTCCGCTAAGACCCCCATTGCTCTTGGAACCCCCTTCTCACGCTACATCCCCATATACGACCCACCCCCGTTATTACATCCCATCCTCCCAGGTCTGGTAACTGAGTGCCTCACAGTTGGGGCGGGGGCTGTCCCTACTCAGAGTCAATGTCTGTGAACCAGGAGGGGGCCAGGCCAGGGGGGTTGAAAGTGGGGCACTGTGCCCTCACCCAGCCTGCTGGGACCCTCCCTGGGTGGGGATGGGACTGCCAGCTGTCTGCCAGCTGTTTGCCAGTGCCTGCCAGGGTGTGTCCCCCCATCCTAACCTCAGAATCCTGAAACCAATTAGCGCAGCCAGCCCCTAGCTGGGCCGGGGCTCCACACAGACCTTCTCCTGGTCTGAGTCTCTGCCAGAGGACATTCCGATCCCTGCTTGCTTCAGATGCTCCTGGAGTCGAGAGTACTACACATATAGAATGTGGGCCCCAGCCTCTGGGCCAGGCTGCAGCGAAGATGCCTTCCAGCCCTGGACACAGCTGTCACCCTTGACCCCAGCAGTGAGGGTGGGGTGGCATCCCCTCAGGTGCCAGGTTGCCTGCTACCAGATGATGCTGTGGGCCTGGCGGGGGGGGGAAGGGGGAGCATGGCCCAGCCCAGCTATCCTTGTGACAGCCCACACCTCCTAACTCAGCTCCCCCACTGGATGCCACCAGCCTGTCTGAGGGAATCCCCCCCGCCTGTCTGGGGACCCCGACTCCCTTTCACCCAGCCCGGCCCTGTCTGGGCTGCCCTGGGCCGGAGGCCCAGCCTGAGGGTCAGAGGGCGCTGAGTCTGGGTGGGCCGTGTGTGCCGGGCATGCCTGCCTCTCGTGTCTGCAGAAACTCAGACCAGCTGACACGTGTGCAGTGTTCACCCCTCTGAGGCCGCCTGTGAAACTCAGGGGCGGGTGCAACTTGAGAAAAACAGAAACAACCCCCCAGGTCTCGTGACCTGAGGGGAGCCCGCCCTCCCGTTCCTGGGGAGCCTGGGCACCAGCACTCGCAGAGCTGCAGGAAGCCTGTCTCCTCCCATCGCGGGAGGGCTGTCTGGTTTAGGCAGCACGCGGCAGGGCAGCCATTAGTGGATACCTACTGTATGCCGGGTGAGGCCTGAGTGAACTGAGGGGGACCGGTTCAGGTGCCCGACGGGTGAGTGCATCGCGGGCGGGTGAGGAAAAGGCCTGCTGGGCTGGGGTTCTAGGGGTGAAGGACAGTGGAAACAGAGGGAGACAGTGGGGGACAGAGGGGGACAAAGGGGGACATAGGGGGCAGAGGGAGACAGTGGAGGACAGAGGGGGACAGATGTGGACAGTGGAAGCAGAGGGAGACAGTGGGGGACAGTGGGGGACAGTCGGGGCAGAGGGGGACAGTGGGGAACAGAGCGGGACAGTGGGGGCAGACGAGGACAGTGGGGGACCAGGAGGGCTGTGGAGAAGCCAGCAGCCTGGAGGCACCCCTGGGGGCTGGGTAGACAGGGGCCATCCATGAAGGTTGGGGGTAGAGATCTGAGTGGTGGCGTCATGACTGGGCCTGGACAGCTGAGAGGCCTCAGGACGCCCCAACGCAGAGGTCACATGGTCTGAAGGGCCTGCACCCAGGGCTCCCCAGGACACGCCAGCACACCCCACTGCCTCTAGGCCGACTAGGGGTTGCCGTGTACCAGGCTATGTGGGTGGTCACGGGGCTGAGGCCCGGCTGCAGGCCCCGAGGTGGACATGGGGGCTGGGTGGGCACAGTGACACAGAGATGAGGGCACCTGCAGGGCTCAGCCTGTGTGCTGTGTCCGTGAGAGGCCAGGCCTGGGGAAAGAGTGTGTGAGCATGTGGTCACATCCACGTACCTATGTATTACTGGGAGTTTATATTGGTATGCTAAATATGTGTCTGTGTGCACATCTGCATCTTGGCATCTGTGTGTGTCTGATCACATGAGCAAGTCCACATGGGTGTGCCTATAAGCCTGTGCTGCGTCTGCACACGCAGGTCTGTGTGTGTGTTCCTGAGGGGCACGGGCTGTGGACTTGGGCCCTCCGGCTGCAATGGGCTGTGTTGGGGCTGCGCCCCTGTGGGCACAGGTGTAGATGGGGGCAGTCTTGGGGGACCCGCCCGGGAGCTCCGGTGAGCAACTGGGCTGCTCTGGGCGGGTTTATGAAGAGCCAGGCAGGCTCTGACCGCTCCCTGGATGCCTCTCTGTAGCTCCAGCCAAAATGCAACAGCATTGCTTAGTTTTTGTGTGTTTATTGTCACCGTGTTCCTTCTGATTATGGCAAGTGATGCTAATGTTTCCAATTAATAACATTATTCTCTTTATTTAAATAAGAAGTGAAAACATTTTAAGGCAGACAATTAGGCAGCTCCCCTGAGAGCTGAGCAGGCAGCAAGGCTTGGCCATTCTCCCAGGGATCCCGGGGGAGAGCACACATCCTCAGCCGCCACGGACCTGGGGCTTCTTGTTGCCAAGGAGACGGTGGGGCGCTGCCGCCCCCAGCAGCCCAAGGTGGTTCTGGTTACTCACCCATTTTACAGGCCAGGGCACTCTCACCAACACCGTCACCAGCTGCGGGAGAAGAGCCGCAGTCAGCTTCCTGCTGTTGAACAAGCAATCCTCCAGAGCTCCAGCCGGCACTCAGGGGTCTCCGGCATCACTCACGTTTCCAGACCCAGCAGGGCCAACTGGTCTCTGGCCCAGAGTCTGGCCTCAGCCAGGAGCTGGCAGGGGGCCTCAGCTGGCCGTCAGTCGGGGGGAGCTGGGCTGGTGGCCACATTCCCCATGGCGTGTCCAGGACAGGAGCCAGATGGCAGCACGGAAGTCACGCCGGCCGCTTTCTCTGAGGATCGAGCCGGCTGCCTCTCCTCTTGGCAGAGAGTAAGGAGGATGGACAAACAAGTGCTGCCAGTTCTGGAACACGCAGTCAGCCACACAGGAGCGTGAACCCAGGGCGGCCTGTTTCCAAGCTCGGGCTCTCGACAAAGGCTGATCCCACCTCCAATCAAAGACCTGGGCCAGGTTGTCAAGCCCGCTCTGTCCCTGAGGCTCATGTCACGGGGTGCCAGCACAAGAGGAAGCAGAGATGCCGTGAGAATCCTCCACAGCTATACCCACCACAGCCCTTAGGTCGGAGGTGGGCCCGAGACGGGCATTTCCTTGCCATGTCCCTCCAGGTGGCAGAAAATGACTCAGGCAGAAGCTGAAGAGTCCCAGAGAGGAAGGGTCCTTGACTGGCAGATTCAGCCCGTTTTGGGGGATAACTTAGATGAAGACGGCCTCTTCAGGAGCACTTATAGAAGGGGGCGGCAGGGGTGCAGAGGGCAGGGGCCCATCAGAAACCAGAGGGGAGCTCAACTTAGATGTCACAGGAGCGGGTGGGAGTGAGAGACATGGCTAAAATCAGACATATGGATGGCTGGATGGTGGAAAGGCTGACCCCTGGTGCCCACGGACACAGATGGACAGTCCTGGCTGGTCTATAGTCAGGCTGACTCTGGGGGAGAAGACACCAGGGAGTGTCCCTAAAAATATATTTGTTTTGAGGATCAGGGTTGCTGTGATATGCTCACGTTAGATTCTGACATTAAGGGCCCCCTCTTGCATTGGGAGGCTCTTGTACCCAGCACTCTGGCCACTGCATGAAGTGACAAAGACCTCCAGCTGGTTGAGGACAGTCTGTACATGAGACAAAAGGTCGAAATACACAATGGGGGAAAGGGGTCCAGAGGAAACATCATCATCCAGTAAACAGGAGAAAAGAAAACAGAACTATCAACTGATACCAGATAATATTGCTTCCATATAAGAACAAGGAGCAAAGAAAAAAGAAACCCACCAACAACGAAACACAAGACAGCATTTTGGGAGGTTACCCATATAGTTTCTGAAAGAAAACCGGGTGAAAGTGCTTAAATTCAGAAACAAGGAAACTTATAGAATAAATTCAAAGAACAGAATATTCAATTCACAAATTCACAGAATAGAAATGCATAGAACAAAAGCACGAGAAAACCTAAAACAGGAGAGAAAAACACAAGAGTCAAATAGGAGCAATGCGAGAGGTCCAGCATCCGACTGAGCACGGTGCCCGGAAACAGACAGAGGAGGATTCCAGGGCGTGTTCTGCGATCGGCAGCAGAGCCAGCGACCCCGCATGAGGAGCTGGTCAGATGAAAACAGTCTCCAGTGAGGCATGTCGCTGAGAAAGTGCAGAGCAAAGGAGGAAGAGGTAGCTCAAGGAGATTGTGCAAGAAGGCAACAAGCTGCCTACAAAGAACTGAATTCTCAGCAATAGTGCATTGTGGATAGCCCTTCACTTTCATGAGAAAACAGGTTATGATCCAGAAGTGCCAGGCCAGCAAAAACCTGTTACCCAGTTATGAGAGTATAATAATGGCAAATGCAATCATTCCAGGGCTTGGAAGTTCATTTCCCAACACCACTGCCAGGGGTGGTTTGGGGACCAGCTCTAGCTAAACAGGACATAAACCTAGAGGCGGAGGGCCTGACACAGGAATTCAGTGGGCAACATAGATCCGAAGCCAGGCACTGTGAGTAGGAGGCCCAGAGCATGGAAGACTGTCAGGCAATCAGAGACCCCATGATGAAGAATCGACTTGAGCAGACAGGTTCAGGTGTGAGTGGGGGGCCTGACCCGCGGGTCCACAGGTCAGCGCTCCCGGCAGGAGGGCCCATGATGACTTCTATTCGCAGACAGATGCCATGGCTGAGAAGTCTGACTATGTGCACAAGCAGCCTGACCCCGAGCCCCACCAAAGGACACAGGCTGTGAGTTACTGGAGGGAGGAGGCGGAATAGACCCCGCACAGCACGAGCCCTCCTGGGTGTAGACTTGGGCCCCTTGGCTGTCATCTTCCAGGGCTATCATCCTGGAAATCCTCTCAAGTTTGAACAAGGGTGTACCTGGCCCTCCCATGGGTGTAGTTGAGTGTCCTTGAGTCTTCTGTTTCTTGGATCACCCAAGGACGTATGGTCACGCCCACAGCTTAACTCCTGGAAATGTGTCCTCTGTCACCAACTTGCAAGAGTCATCTGCAGCTGAAGTCCTGGAACTGAACATGAATGACCCGGTAAGACCAGCCCTGCAGAACCCAGCAACCCCGAGGAGCCAGAGTTGCCCACCAGAACCAGGATGCTGGCCCAGCCGTGGGACAAGGATCACTGATTCACCCATCCCAGCGGCTCCTGGGAGCATCCTCAAACTGCCCCACCCGAGAGACCTGTTTGTCCTCAAACAAATCCATCTGAGAGACCTGTGTGAGCCCCCAGTTCTAAGGAAGTACAAACACTCCCCAAGCCCCAGTGTCCAACCTGCAGCTGAGCGTGGGTCACAGTGCTGTCCCCAGGACCAGGGTGGGGTGTGGTGGGAGCACCCCTGTGGGACTGTGCGCCACTGTCTGTGGAAAGTAACATAAAACTACTTGACAGGCAAACCGAGGGGTGCATTCAAGGATGCAAAATCGAATCTTGTTTGCAGACCTCAGGCACTGGGTCCTGGGTGGGGCGTGGAAGTGACCGGCCCTCCCCGCCTCTTCTCCTGTCCTCTGGGCAGCAGCTCCGCCCTTCGGGTTTTACTGCACCTGGGCCTGGCTCACACAATGACACCCAGCCTCAGACAGAGACGCCCAGCCACGGGGTCCAGGAACTCCCATCTTCCCACCCTCACAGGGAATGCGCTGATTACTGATAAACGGGAGGTTGGGCAGCGATCACCTGGACCAAAGGCCTCCGTCTTCTGGCAGGACAGCCGGTCAGGATAGACGCACAGCAGCGGCAGGCAGCAAGTGCCCAGGGACGGCGTCATGTGGACCGGCTGGTGGCTCTGGCCCCTGGTGGCCATCTGCACTGCAGACCAGTTCCGGGACAATGCGGTGAGACTCATGCAGAGCACACCTGTCATCGACGGGTAAGCAGCCATTCAGGACGGGTCTGGGGTCTGGGCTGGGGGAACTGTGATCAAGGCTCTTGTGACCTGAGACAGGCACTGCCCTGTCTCCCTGAGACTCGGTCTATCCAACTGAAACATGGCCTTTGCTCTTTGCTGGACTCTTTGTGGGATCTCAGGGCCACAAAGACTTCAGCAGAGGAGGGTCTGTGGGAACAAAGCAGGAAGGGGGTGAGTGGCTAGGCCACCGCACGCTCAGGACGGGGTACCTGAGCCCAACCTGAACTTCCTGGGGGCTGGATCCCAGCTCTGGAAGGGGGTGCTGGGGGCCCTGCCTCACAGAAAGGGCAGGGAGGGTAGCATTGGGGAGACCCTGCCAGCCCTCTTGACCCTTCTTTTTGAGACCCTCTGTCAAACCCACCCGCCCCGACCACCTGGCGTGACCCCATCAAGTCCCAGCTTGACCTCATGGAGGCATGTCAGCCTTCATTGCCCCAGACAAGCTCCTGGGCACCCACTCCCACGGGTACCATTCCAGCCAAGACCCTAGAGACACCCTGTCACTCCCTGATGTTACAGTTAACCTGGGCCCGCCTGTCCCCTTCAGTTACCCTCCCCCACCACCCCACCTCCTGCTAGGGGTCAGGCCTGCACCTCTGACTGTCCCCTCCTCCCACAGGCTGGAGGTCAGGTCTCACACTGCAGCCAGGGGGAGGCTTGGAGACCCAAGTCTCACCCCTGTCCTTCATGCTCACCCCCTGCCGTGACTCCCACTGAGCTTGGAACAATACAAAGAAACAAACAAACAAAAGTCCGCACAGAGGCCCCTGGGGCCCCTTGATGTTGCAGGCAGGCCTGGCCAGGCCCCCTCCCCTGATCCTGGCCACAGTTCCTCGGGTACTTCCAGAGCCCTGGGAAGGACACCACCTGCACACACACTCCCGCCCTGCCTGCTCTCCTGCCCGCCCGCCTGCCATGGTGCCCGGCACACTGGCTGCACGCAGCCCAGAGGAACAGTATCTGGTGTGTGCTGGCTCTTGGGTACCGGGAAGGTTAGGAGAACACTACATGCTGCTGGGTTTTGTTGGACAAAAGCTCTACGGTAAAAGCAGAGAAAGTGAGTGTCTTGTCACATAAGACCTGCCGGGAGCTGCAGGATAGCCCTAGAGAAGGAAGTGGCCATGGGGTCAGTGTGCACCCTACCTTCCCTTCCTCCCACAGCCCTCTCCTGACCACTCCTTCCCGTGCTTCCTGGACCTCCTGTCCCCCTGCTCGCCACTGCCCCACAGTATAGAGAGCTTTCTGCAGAGGCCGCTGCCCTTGGCTCCCACCCCAGAGGCCCTGCTGTCTCACAGGTCCCGGTTCAGGGACTGGGCATCCCAGGCCAGCAAGCATAGGAAGATGATGCCACAGAATGAACCAGGGAAGCTGTTCCTTCATTCTGGAGGACTCAGGGCAGCCGGACACAGAGAGAGGGGGTCTTTGTCTAGGTAATGGAGCTGTCCAGAGGTCCGTGCGAGAGGTAAGATGGCTCACAGAGCCCAGACAGCCAGGAGTACTCAGGACGCTGGGATCTGGGATTATCCAAAGTCTTAGAAAACTAAAACTAGGTTGACAAAAGCAAAAGCAGTGTAGGTAAGAGACACAAAGAAGTAGCTTTAACAACAGAGAAGTGCAGAGGAAGCCCTGGCACAGCATTCCACAATAGTGCAGCCACCATTCCCACAGTTACCTCATGATTTAACATAGCTGCACCAGCTCCAGACATCACATCCATATGCCAGAGCTGGTCTAAGTGTGCATTTGGTTGTCCTTTGTAGCACTCTCCAGCACTAGGAACCCTCTCCTCCCTTCTTTGAGTAGAATGGAAGGGTCCTCTATCATGTCTGAGGATGCTACCCAGGCCACAAAGATAATGAGAGACGCTCCACTAGGCTCCAAAAGGTGGTACTGCCCACAGAGCAGAGGCCTACGAAGGGAGGAGAGGCTGAGGGGAGGAAGGAGGGACAAAGCGGAGGCAGCTGGAGGGTGGGGCTGGACTTCCCAGACCAGCAAAGGAGTAAAGTCCTGCCCGGTGGCGCTGCTCCAGGGACAGCACCCCCCCAGTCCTGCAATGAGGTGAGGACCTCGCCTCACTGGAGTTCATCCTCCTCTCAGTCAGCAAAGGCCATGCCCATCGGTCAAATCTCAGAATTTGCAGAAAACACAGCTGGGATGGGAGCCCCGCCTAGGGCACCTGGGGCAGCTTCCACAATCTAGAGCCCCAGGGTGGGGCCCAGGGAGCCCTCACTTCCCACTAGCAGGAAGAGCCCACCCTAGGGGGCTGGACAACCTGGGCCACCACAGTGTTAACAGACAGTGATTGATCTGAACTAGGCAGACCCAACAGATGAGGAAACAGACATGAGGAGGGAACCGGAGCTGGGGATGGGGGAGGGTCCTGGGGACAGCAGGCCTGGCTTCGGGGCTGCAGAGGAGGCCTGGATGGGAGGGCTCCCAGTGGGATTAAGGCCCTTTCCAGGTGTCCCCGTTGTCACCAGACCAGGGATGCAGACGGGAGGCTCCCTTCACGGCTCCCTGAACGTCCCATGCATGTGTATACACAGGCTGATAAAAGCTAGACGGAGGGTCCAGGCTGGGCCTGAGACTCTGCTTCTCTCATCAGGTCCAGCATCTGGAGCTTGTGGCTCCCAGCGGCCTCTCCCCTGGGGGCTGCTCCTGCTCCCCCTCTGTCAGTTGCTGGGTCCAGGGAGAGGGTGCCCCAGCCCCACCGGTGCCCACTCCCCAGCAGCTGATAGCCCTCCGCGCCCCCTGCGCCTCCTCCTCCGGGTCCAGTTCGGTCCTGTCCGCCCTTCCCACCTCCCCCTCTGCCCCAACCCCACCTTCAATGCACTCTTCGCCTCCTGGCTCCCGGGAAGACTTCAGAGGGCCTGTCTTTTGGAAGCATAGAGGATCCTCTTGGAAATGGTGCAAGACTGTGCCCAGGCATAGAGGGTCTGCGGGGCGAGCGGAGGTGCGGAGGGGGCCCCAAATTCTGCCCTGGCGCGCTGCTCCGTTGGCCACCCTCCCCCAGGGAAGGCCACGCCCCTCACTTCCCCGGGTCCCTGCAAGGGGAGATTACAGCTTCTTTTTTTGGCCACGCCCCAAGGCGGGGTCTTAGTTCCCCACTGAGGGATGGAACCCGCGCCCCTGCATTGGGAGCGCGGAGTCGTAACCACTGGACCGCCAGGGAGTCCTAGAATTTCGTCTTTAATCTGTGAATCTCGCCGAGGCCCTACACCCAGTGAGCCCACGGCAACCAGTCTTATCCATGGAGATTGTTTTAACCGCCCGCCCCCCCTCCCCCCACCCCCCATTTTGAAGCCAAGCCAGTGTGCGCCCTCCTTCTTCCCCAGTGGAAGGCTCGGGGAGTGAAGACCTGACGGCTTAGGGCTCAGTTCGCTGACCTGGCCTCGGGGTGGGCCGGCTGAGAAGCGCACCTGCGCTCAGGTGTGTTCAGGCAACAGCGATCACCCTGGGCCCCTCCTGGTCCTCAGCCACTGAAAGAGGAGCCAGAGAAGGGCCAGCCTGCCTGGGAGGAAGCTGTCCTGAAACCCCATCCTGACCCCTCTGGCGCCTCCAGGCACAATGACCTTCCCTGGCAGCTGCTGAACAAGTTCAACAATCAGCTTCAGGACCCGAGGGCCAACCTGACCAGCCTGAACGGCACGCACACCAACATCCCCAAGCTGAAGGCTGGCTTTGTGGGGGCCCAGGTAGGGTCCGGCTCTGAGCCCGCCCGCACGCGGAGCCCACCCACTCCTCCCTTGGCGCCTGTCACTGGTGGCCACGTACCTCCCTGGGCCCTTCGCGGGGGCTCCGATAGCCACCCAGGCTGTGGGGAGGGCTTCTGGGGCTCGAGGGGAGCCCCAGGCCTGTACGCCTGAGCAGGGGCAGGGCCTGGTTTCCGACCGCTCGGCTCCCAGCCCCTCCCCACCGTGGCCCCCAGTTCTGGTCTGCGTACACACCCTGCGACACCCAGAACAAGGATTCTGTGAAGCGGACGCTGGAGCAGATTGACGTCATCCAGCGCATGTGCCAGCTCTACCCCGAGACCTTCCTGTGTGTCACGGACAGCGCAGGTGGGTGCCAGCGCCCCCGGGGGGCGGGGGGGGGGCCGTCCTGAGCAGAGCCGCTGGGCTGTCCATTCACGGTGCAGCCCCCCTCCCCAGGCATCCGGCAGGCCTTTCAGGAGGGGAAGGTGGCCAGTCTGGTTGGCGTGGAGGGCGGCCACTCCATCGACAGCAGCCTGGGTGTCCTGCGGGCGCTCTACCACCTGGGCATGCGCTACCTGACTCTCACCCACAGCTGCAACACGCCCTGGTGAGCAGCCCCGGGTCGGGTCTTGGGGCAGGGACCCTGAGGTACCTGCTGTTCTCTGAAGAGGCCCGAGGTGGGTGGGTCTGGACCACCACGCTTCCCCTCCGGCCTCCGCTCTCTGCTCTCCCAGGGCCGACAACTGGCTGGTGGACACAGGAGAGGACGAAGCCCAGAGTCAAGGCCTCTCATCCTTTGGGCAGGTGAGTGGAGGATGGGGTGATGATGAGCCGCAGAAGGTCATGTGAACACAAGTGGGCACAGTGCAGCCTGCTTGGTCCCAGGGTGTCGTCCATGACCCTCTGGGCTAGACAGGTCCCCTGATCCTGTACCCCCTCAGAGCGTCGTGAAGGAGATGAACCGGCTGGGCGTCATCATCGACTTGGCCCACGTATCCGTGGCCACCATGGAGGCCGCTCTGCAGCTGTCCAAGGCCCCGGTCGTCTTCAGCCACTCCTCGGCCTACAGCGTGTGCCAGCACCATCGCAATGTGCCTGACCACGTGCTGCAGCTGGTGGTGAGGGTGGGGCTGCTGCCTCTGCCCTGGGCTGGCCCTTGCAGCCTGGCTGCCCTGCCCCCAGCTCCACCCTCTCTCCCTTGCAGAAGCAGACGGGCAGCCTGGTGATGGTGAACTTCTACAATGACTATGTTTCCTGCAAAGCGAAGGCCAACTTGTCCCAAGTGGCAGGTAGGTGGTGATGAATGGCCGAGGTGCGGGGGTGGGGGGGATGTCCCTCTTGCAAGGCCTCACGTGCTGCCTCCATGCAGACCACCTGGACTACATCAAGAAGGTTGCAGGAGCTGGAGCCGTGGGCTTTGGTGGGGACTACGATGGTGTGTCCAGGTAAGGCAGGACGCTGCCCATATGTTGTGGGGAGTGGAGGAAGGGAGCCCTGAGGGCACCAGGGCTTGGGATGGGGCCCCCAGGGTGCAGACTCTGGCTCTCTGCCCACTTCTCAGGCTCCCCTCCGGGCTGGAGGATGTGTCCAAGTATCCAGACCTGGTCGCTGAGCTGCTCAGGAGACAGTGGACGGAGGCGGAGGTCAGGGGTGCCCTGGCTGAAAACCTGCTGAGGGTCTTCGAGGCCGTGGAGCAGGTGAGGAGGGACTGCCATGCTCCTGCCCCCCACCCCCGACCTTCTCCTGCCCTCAGACAGGCAGCTGACCCGTGTCTGTCCCCAGGTTAGTGATCACAAGCAGGCTCCTGGAGAGGAGCCCATCCCACTGGGCCAGCTGGAGGCTTCCTGCAGGACCAAGTATGGCTACTCAGCGGCCCCCATCCTCCACCTCCAGCCAGGGGCCCTGCTGGCCTCCCTTGTGACCCTCCTCCTCAGCCTGTATCTTCTCTGACACTCTGGGGGCTGGAATGGCCATGATTCCCTGCCCAGTCCTGGGCAGGCTGCAGGGCTCCCGGGCAGTAGAATACACAGGGACAGCTGGACCTTCAATAAAGGCACCAAGCCTTCAACTCTCATGTCATCGGCAACCGTAGCCCTGGAGGGGCCTCTGGCTGGACACCTGGACACACGAGTGCCTGAGTCCTGAAGGTCAGGGCCAGCGGGGTCAGGCTCTCAGAAACCCTGTGTGGATATTGCTGGAGGCTCTTTAAAAGCAAAATCAGGCTTCAGTTGCCACCTTCTCACATGCACTTGTACATAGGCACACACACACACACACACATACATGCATGCTCATGTGTGCACACCTGCACCCCACACCCTCACATCCTCACTCATGCACATGTACACCGCCAATGGACTCACACTTGTGTGCCCACCCCTTGGGCCAGCCTCTCATGGTATAAAGGTCTGGAGCAGGGAGGCTCCCAGGCCCGCAGGGCCTCCACACACAGTGGGCACAGATCCTACAGCGCAGGGCTTCCCACCCGGGCTCAGCACCTCCCCAGCCCGGTCATTTGGTGGATGTGTCTTGAGATGAATAACTTAGTGGGTGACAGACTCCAGACAAGACCCCCAACATGTCCCTGCTGGTGCTTTTCCAGGCCAGAGCCCCCAAGAACACTGCTACCAACCCGTGCCTGCCAGCCAGCTGGCACCCTCTCAGGGAGGTCTAAAGTCACAAGCTGGGACACTGTGGGTAGTTGCTGACACTTGGGATCAGTTTAATGTTAAAGGAGGAAAAACTCAAGTCGAAGGTTTTTGTTCTGAGTTGGCCAATTATTCCCAACTCCCCCAGCTGCTGCCACTGATTTACCTAGCCAGGCTGGAGGAGGCAGGAGGGGACCTTGGTGGGCTGCAGGTGGGCAGGCCTAAATTTGCTAATGGGGAGAGATTTTCCCACAAGAAATGCTTTAAATCCATCTGAAATCACCTTCATCACATTGGAACCACTCCCCGAGGCAATAGATCAAGTGCTGTCCCCAGAATCTGGTTCTGGAAATCCCTCTGCTTGCACCTCATTCACCCTTGGAGTTGCAGGCCCACAGCCTTTCCTGGGGCTCCTGGTAATAGGCTCCATGGAGGCAGGTGCCATGACTGAGCCGGCAGCGTGGAGTCCATTCTGGAGCCCCTAGAGGGCCGTCTCCCTGGGCAGAGCCCATATCAGCCATTCTGCAACTGATCTCAAGTGGCCTCGGCCTGAAGAACAGCTTGAAGAGAGGCTTGGGTTCCCAGTCAGAGGTTGGGCTGGGTTGTGGAGATGAGAGCACCAGATTCTAGCTGCTAGACCAGTGGTCAGTGACAAAGGGCTCTGACCCTTCAGCTTCACAGGTTAGAATTTCCACAAAGACAGGAAGTAATGAAACAAGTAAAGTATTTATTAAGAGGAAAAAGAGTACAGTTTGTGTGGATAAGCACAAAAGCGGACTCAGGGAGAGGGGGAGTCCCTGAGTTGCATCCTGCTGGCAGTTAGATTTACTTTTATGGGGCATTTCTTCTCGGTTTCCTTTGGTCGGTCATTCTGATTTCCCTGGTTCATGGTCCATGTTTGGTATATCTCAGAATCCTCCCATGAGTGCGTGCCTCTCATAGCCAAAATGGATCCTACCGAAAAGGCTTCTGGGTAGACCATCCTTTGATATGACTCCTCTTTGGCTTCTAAGGAGGCTTTTCTGTACATGTGTGGTCTGGGTGGTTTGAGTAGGGCCCAGCCTCCTCCCTTAATTACCCTGCTGTTCTTGTCTTGGAGTTTCCCTCAAGAGAGAATGAATCTCCAATTTCTCTACCCTGCTTGTGGGGGGGAGGGGAGGGGGGAGGGTGTCCATCTGCCTCCTGCTTCACAACCAGTCAACAAGGAGTCTCAGGCCCGTTCAAACCAAGATGTGCTCGGAGCAGGGACAAGGGGTGGCCCAGAGCCACATGCGGTCACTCTGGTGGGCGGGTGGTTACAAAGGGTAGGGACCTAACTGCGGTTCTGACTCTAGAACCCTGTTAAGGGTTCATATGCCCCCCTAACCAATCAAGCTCAGACAGACTGTGAAGCACCGGACTGCCCCGCCCTGCCCCGGAACCGAACCATCGCATCTAACAGACTGCCCAGAGGACTTGACTGAGAGCAGGGCCTTCTGACAATGCACCAGGGGCCCCAGCAGAGTCCCTGCACAAACTCTGTCCACTGGTGGGCAAGAGCGTCTCACGGGTGCAGCCAGCTGGGCAGACTAGTTTCTGGAGCACACAGGGGCTGCCCAGAGGTAGCTTCGGGGTACACAGGAGGCTGCCCGGATGGGGTTCCAGTGAGTACAGAGGGGCACACGGACAATATCTGGAGCACACAGCGTCAGGGTGCACCATTTGGGATCTGGGGCACACATGCTATTGTGCCTCACGTTTTCAGGGGCACACAAGGCTGTGCATGGAAGTAGTTTCTGGTCCTCACACAGGGGTGCCTGGAGGCAGTTTCTGGAGCACCGATGGGTTGTTAAAGGAAGGTACTGTCTGGTTCGTACAGAATAATGCCTGGAGGTCATTTCTGGTGCACAACGGGGTACAGGAGCATAGTTTATAGTTCGCGTCGGGGTGGGGAGGCGAGCGGGGTGGTGCCCGGAAGTCCTTTCTGGTGCACACAGGAACTGCCCTGACGTAGTTTCAGGCACACCGGTTGCTGCCCGCATGTGGTTTCCATGAGTACAGAAGGGCTCAGGGGTACAAAGTTTCTGGAACTCAGAGGGCGTCTGTACACCAATCTGGTTCTGACGCACACACAGTGACATACTGTAGTGCTTCAGCGTGTCCCCTGGAGGGCACACCAACATGCTTTCTGGTACAAATCTGGGGCCCTACAGATGTAGGTCCCACGTGCACAGTGCCGTCCACAGATGTGGTTTCGGGTGTACACAGGAGTTGCCCGGAAGTAGTTTCTGATATACACATGAAGTGCCCGGACACAGTTTCTGGAGCACACAGAGGTATCTGATTCCCGCACAGGTATAGTGGCATGCTGTCGTGTCTAACATATCCACAAGAGGACGCACCAACATGCTTTCGGTACACACGTGGGTGCCCACAGACATAGTTTGTGCGTCCACCGTGGGGGCGAACGGATGTGGTTTCTGGTGCACATAAGGGGTTGCGCAGACGTTTATGATGCACACAGGAAGTGCCCGGAAGTTATTTATGATACACAGGAAATGGCCGGACGTATACCTGAGCATAGCTTGTAGCATGCTGTCGTGCCTAGCGTGTCCACAGGAGGGCGCACTGACATGCTTTAGATGGACGTATGGGTGCCCAAAGACCGGGTTTCTGTGCCCGCAGTGGGGGCGAACTGGTGTGGTTTCTGGTGTACATGAGGGGTGCCGCACGTTGTTTCTGATGTACATAGAGCGATGCGGGATTCCAATGCCATGTTGTGCCTAAAATGTCCACAGGAGGGCGCCCACAGACCTGGTTTTTGCGTGAACACTGGGGGTGAATGAATGGGCTTTCAGATGCAGATAAAAGGGTGCCGGAAATGATACGCACAGGAAGTACCAAAATTATATGATACACACAGGAAGTGCCCGGAGATTATTTACGATGGACACAGGAAGTGACCGGACGTTGTTTCTGGAGCACACAGGAAGTGCCTAGATGTATTTTTGTACATATATAGCTGCACTCTCCGGAGAAGGCAATGGCACCCCACTCCGGTACTCTTGCCCGGAAAAGCCCATGGACGGAGAAGCCTGGTAGGCTGCAATCCATCTGGTCGCTACGAGTCGGACAAGACTGAACGACTTCACTTTCACACATTGGAGAAGGAAATGGCAACCCACTCCAGTGTTCTTGCCTTGAGAATCCCAGGGACGGGGGAGCCTGGCGGGCTGCCGTCTATGGGGTCGCACAGGGTCGGACACGACTGAAGTGACTTAACTTAGTGGCACTCGGAGAAAGCAATGGCAACCCACTCCAGTACTTTTGCTTGGAAAATCCCATGGACAGAGGAGCCTGGTAGGCTGCAGTCCATGGGGTCGCTGAGAGTTGGACCCGACTGAGCGACTTCACTTTCACTTAACTGCTTGGAGAAGGAAATGGCAACCCACTCCAGTGTTCTTGGGTGGCTAATCCCAGGGACGGGGGAGCCTCGTGGGCTGCCGTCTATGGGGTCACACAGAATCGGACAGGACTGAAGCGACTTAGCAGCGGCACTCTGTTGTGCCTAACGTGTACACAGGGGGGCGAAGGAACACGCTTTTGACACACGCATGGGTCCCCATAGACCTGGTTTCTGTGCCCACCGTGGGGGAGAACGGATGTGGTTTCTAGTCCACATAAGGGAGTTTTCGCACGTTGCTGCTGATGAACAGAGGAAGTGCCCGGCGTTGTTTCTGATGCACCCGAAGTGAGGCAACAATCTGATTGCCGAGCATATATACATTGGAACATTGTCGTGCCTAACGTGTCCACAGGAGGGTGCACCAACATGATCTTTGTTCACAAGTGGGTGTCCACGTCTGGTTTCTGCGTCCAGAGTACGGAGTGAACGGATGTGGTTTCAGGTGAACATAACGGGGTGCCGGGACCATTATTTTTGATTCGCACAGGGAGTGCCCGGCCAGTTGTTTCTGATACACACAGGAAGTGCCCTGACTTCCTGCATTGCTGCCTGTACATATAATGGCGTGCAGTTGAGCCTAACATGTCCATTGGAGGGCGCGCTAACATGCTGTTGATGAGCACATAGGTGCCCACAGACCTGGTGTGTGTGCCTACAGTGGAGGCGAACGGATGTTTCTGGTGCACATAAGGACCGGGGTGCCCAGACGTAGATTCTGAGTCATATAGGAAATGCCCGGATGTAGTTTCTGGAGCATACAGTTCAGTTCAGGTCAGTCGCTGTCGTGTCCTACTCTTCGTGACCCCATGCACTGCAAGACTCCAGGCTTCCCTGTCCATCACCAATTCCTAGAGCCTACTCAAATTCATGTCCATTGCGTCAGTGATGCCATCTGACCATCTCATCCTGTCGTCCCCTTCTCCTCCCGTCTTCAATCTTTCCCAGCATCAGGGTCTTTTCAAATGAGTCAGTTCTTCG